TCCGGGGTTATATTTTCAAGCTTGCGGCAGATCTCTCGCCGATTTCGCAATATACAGCTGCCGGGAGTTTTCCCCCGGTGAGATATAGCGCCCCGTGAAATTGTTCGCGAGCGGCTCGATGACGTATTGCGCGACGACGAACATCCCGTGGAACGTATATATGTATATATATATATATATTCGCTAAAGTTGTGCAATATGAGAATACTGCGAAAGCAACGGTATGCGAATTCGACGATACAAGGGATAACTAGTTGCTTTCGAACCCCTTTTCGTTCTACCGTTTAATCGCAATTGCAGAATCAAGATGTACCGATATTAGCATTTGATTTGGAATCTAAAACAAAAGCGACGTCGTTTCTTTTGTTGCATTCTACAAAGAACATTTCATGAAAAATCAGCGCTCTGCTTGTTTAGTGGCAAACTTCCCGATGGAGATTTCCTTTAGAATGAAAAATTCTCGGAAGCTTGTTGTTCATTTCTGCTGTCTCTTGTTTGCTTTGTCTTCTTTTAGAATTTTTTCATCAATCTGAAAAAAAAAGCAAAAATCAATGCCCTAGAAAAGAAATTGACGAGAGTATTGATTATTTCAGAGTTGAAAAAGTATTTCTTTTGATTCTTGAAAAAGAGGACGTTGAGCGCATCAATCAACAGAATTAAATAGCTTTAAATCGAATCAATTTTAACTTGTTCTCTCTCGAACGAAATTTAGACCCTTTCTGTGCAAATTTCTTTCTATATTTCTCGAAATCTTATGAATGTCACCAAGACACCGCGTTATTATGCACACGTGTTATGAGCCAACAATAACGCGAAATACAATTACGCGAGGTTCGCTTTAGGATGCAGTCTGAATCGCTTTTAATGCACGTTAACTAATTGGCCACAGGTGTGCACCTGAGCAAGTCCCCGAAGAGGAGAGAGCCGCAACGTTGCAAACATGCAACATAAGCATGCTCGTAAGTGCATAAGCTGGTCGACGTAGTGTTTACGAAACGGTGATCATTTTGTATAAGCGGTGAGAGTTGTTCTCGTTGATTTGTGTAATAGGTATCGTGAAGAGGGCTTTTTTCATCGAGCTTTTTAAATTACAAAATAAAGCAGTTGACACATCACAGGGGATAATTCATCACTTTAAATATATTATATAATTATATAAGAATTAAAAATAAATATCAATATTTTTAAAAATATATAATTATATAATGATTTCGCAAAAACTTGGGGAAAAAATGGCGACAATTATTTAGCGATAACTACTTGTTTATCGATTTTATTCACGACGCGGCATATGCACACAGAAGTCGGAACCCGAAGTTACGTTACGGCGTAAAGTTGCACGTGGAGGGTTGGACAGGGGGTTGAAGGGGAGGCAGCATCCTATTATAATGCTCGGACCGGCAGCGATGTTTGCACGTGGTCGTTTCTCGTCTCGCGTGTAATCCGGTCCTTTGTAGCTTGGCCCTGGCGCTCCGCGCTTCGTTTGATTATTAATTATTATTGGAAGGCAAATGTAGCGTGACCGTTGCGCGCGGCAACGATCGATAATTCATGCACGACAAACCGCGCCGGCTGCCGGCGCCCGAAGAGAGGATTGATTCGGGCCGAGGGACTCTCCTCGGACGTGGCTTTGCCTTTATCGTCGGCCCGCACTCGTCCATTTTCCCCCGGAAGCGCTTTCGAACTTCATCCCCTTCTCTCGTGTATTTATAAACTTTTCGAAGTGCTCGCCGCGCGGCGGTTAACGGAAACCTTCCCCGAAGGATATATCGACGCCTCGACGTCGACGGCACCGATGAAAACTTAGTAATTTCGGACGTGCTCCAGTTTACACGCCGACGACTTCAGCCCGCGATCGGACTCGGGGAAGACGCGCTTACGTTTACTTCGGGGAGGACTGTTACGCGCAGGGAGTGGAAAGTTTTCCCGCGGCGTGTATTAATGGCAGAAGTAACGGAAGCTTTCCGTTTCCTCGGGAGAGAACAATTTCGCGATTACTTCCGATTGTACCGTCTGTCGGATTCGAAAAGCTTTTACGATTTTAGGTAGAAATATTGCGTGCGAATTTTTAAACGAAGGCCACGGGAAAAAATGAAATTTAGTACCTAATGTATATAAATATATTAGCTTTTATATCAACTATAAAGAATTTTTATAAAATATAAATATTTAAAAATTTACTGTTAATACGACTTTTTAAACTCATATACGTTCCTTCTGTCAAAAAACAGCTGTTGCGGAAACATGACATTTCGCGGAGACTCGGCGTTTAAAATTTCTCCGTGACTTTCTAGACGTGTCTTTCTTAGGATAAAAATGAAATTAAACATTCTCGCATTAAAAATTCTCGTACAATATTTTTCGCAAAATGTGAAGTTGCTATAGAGTTTATCGTGTAGAATGGACTTAATAAAAATCCACCGCCGCTCGTCGGTGCGAATTAAAGACGAGGAATATAAGGTATCGCTCGAAGGGCATCTTGCTCGGAGGTCCCCGATAAATTGCGAGTTCGATAGTTCCCGTGGCACATTTTCCCAGAGTTCTCTCTACGCCAGCGCATCCGAGGAATAAAAGAGGAGACCGAGAAGGGGATAGAGGGCTCATCCGACGCGAGTTAAAGTTATCGTTTTCATAACTCTTCGCACGCTCGAAGAGGGTGTGGACCGACCGATGAAAATATGCCGTTGTTACGGGAGGATTAGCGGGGATTTAGAGTCATCTGGGGGTTGGGCGCTCGCTAAATGTCTAATCCGGAAATATGGTTGTCTTTGCTCAGAATTTTCCCTCTTTCCTTCCTCCCTTTATGATGCAGGGTGACGCGAGCTACGGAATTCTCGGCAGCAGGCGGCGGATAATCCGCGGCTTGCACTAAATTTCAATTTGCAACGTTATCTCGTATTGCGAAAACAGATTGCGGTACAGTAGTATCTCCTTTCTCTTTTGATCTGGCAGAAAAACGATGGAAGCGCGTCATAACAACGATTCCGTTGAGCCAACGTCGTCGGTTTTACTATTATGACACTGCAATTCATTTCACGTGTATATATATATATATATATATATATATATGTATGTACGTGTGTGTCATTTCTTGGTCGAAACTCTTTGACAGCACATTTAAAAAGCGTTTCAAATTAATCTTCTTGACAGTTTTTAATCAACTCCAATGTACAGAATTTAATTAAATATTAACGTACCGTGAACTCATCTTTTTTTGCGAGTTGTTATTTAATTATTGCGAGAATACAGGTAAGAGAAAGAGTAGCTATTAGTTGTTCTGTTTATTGGTACTTCGATAGTACTTGTCTTTTGTTATATGAGAGAGAGAGAGTTCACTTCTTGAAGAGCGAAACATGTAGTTGCTTTGCACATTAATGGGAAGACTCTTTGATCTAAAACCTCGCGTACATACTTGTCAAGCTAACAAAGGTCAAAGGCTAAATGCAGATTGTATGAAATTATTGTTAGTGAAATAAGGAAGAGAGAAAATAAATATACTCCAGAAGAATAATAAGTGGCGTAATTAGATATTTTCACAAGAGTTTTTATGATTGTCAAGACACAATTTGTATATACATATATATATATATAAATGAATATTTAAAGATATATGAATTTCTAAATATATGTTAAAAAGTTCCAGATTTATTTTATTATGATTTCATCATAATTATCGTGTATGATTTTTCCATTTTTTAAGTTATAATCTTTTAGATTATAAAATAATCTAAAACCAAAAAATGACATAATTTTATTACTTTTTAATTTTTTATGTATATTTATTGTTCTATGTATAAATCAATGTTATCTAGATATCCTGATGTAAACGTATTTTAAATTTAATATTTGTGAAAATATAATAATATCACAAAAGATTTGAATGATTTGAAGTACCGGAATAAGCTAAACTCGAAATTTCCGTTAAGATGAGAGTGTATTATACATTGTTATCAAACTCTGATGACGCAAATGCCGTTAGAATGTTAGAAGGGCTGCGGTTCGTAATATCTGATATCCTAACGTGATATTCTCTCACAACAGCCTTTGTATGTGTGATCTCGGTATGCGGAAACACAACGAATGATATAATTCCGCTACACCGCTTCACCATTAGTTTACGATCCCTATGGGCGCGCAAGGGTTGGACGCGATGTTTATGGGGTCCTGTAACAGGGAGTTGCGTAACGCAGCATCCCCTTCAGGACGTTGGCAGAAAGTTATAATTGCTATATGTTAACCCGACGACAGAAATGGCGACCGGTTTTTACATGCACGTGTTTTTTTATCAGTCTCTTTCATCTACAATATAAGACTGTAATCAAAGGTCTTTTTCGGGTCGTATAATCTTGATTAAAAAAAAACGATATTGAATCAGGATTGAGATTTGAAATCAAAGTCGATGACTGTGGGACACTTCTCGTAAAATAATATAAAAAGTAATATATAGAGAATAATACATAGAACTGCTAATTTTTGAAGTAAAATAAAAGAATAGTATTTTTGCTCTACTTGTTTTAAGATTTTTCGAATTTGATCGAAAAATATAATTTTTCATCAATTTTAAAATTTTTAAAAACTTTAGAAAAATATAATTAAAAAATTGTAATTTTAAGTAATACTCTTTTTTAATGATGGCCGAAATATATATATTTATTAATCAGATAATATCGTAATACATCTCTTGATAACAGCTCGTATATTTTCATAATAATCATTATTTCAAGCGTCTGGAAAATGCGCGTGGGATTCTCATAAATCATAAATGCCGAGCCCACCGCAAAGCTTAATGAGTCGCCGTATCGACGCGGTTTTCCTCCCGCTGTTCCTCCAGGTTTCCTCGGAGAGGACTTTCCCAACTACTCCCCGAAGACTATAGATTATTGCAACTTCTGACGCGCAAGGATAGAATTAAAAACTTCTCCTACCGGGAGTTACCTGTGGCTGACGGATAAGGATTTAATTGGCTCTGTGTGGGGAAGTTTTAATGAATATACGTGGCGTGTCGGTACATTAGCGTTTTATTGGCTACTGCTCTTGTTGTCATCGTTGCTCGTTGTTTCGACATAATATTCCTGCAGCCGGCGCAACCACGCTGTCCAGTATTGTTGCAACGTATTGTCGCACACCTCGTATATCGTCGCTGGTGAGCCGCACGTGTAAGCAATCACGAGCAATCCGTGTTTTATCTGAAGAATCAAAAGCAGATATGATCGATCTAATTATGTGACGCGTGAGAATTAATTGCGACGCTACAATATTTCTCAACGATAAATCCAATAATCGTTTTAAGAGATAAATGTTTTGTCGAATCATACTTTTTTTAGACAATAGATTTTACGAGGTATCTGATAAATTATAGCAAAAATAATGACGATTCGAAAGTAGCGAATTAGATTTTTAGCAGTAGGATATTTACCACAAAGGGATATTGATTAGAAGCATTGATAGCTCCAATATACGCAGCGATTTGTACAGGCGCGTCATACGTTGCTTTCAAATTCAATTTCTTCTTATCTGATTTCTTCCAGTCAATTAGATAGTTTTCACCCCTACGAATTTGTATATATACGTATATTTTAATATATATTTAATATGTGGAAGGACTATTAAAGGTGTAAATGACAGAACAATTTTAAATCTTATCACTTGAAGAATCTATAGATAATCGATATAATTTAAAAATATCCTACAAAATATTACGCAACAAATCTCCACTAAAATATGAATTTAGAAAATGAAAAGAAGTGATCTGTGAATATTACAGACATAGTAAATGATTTAGTAGACATGATCTATTAAGTGATGAAAGATGATTAATAAGAAACGAATGCTATTTTTATAATATATATTTTTGAAATTATAAAATGTAGAATTTATATCAAAGAAAGAGAAAGAGAGAGAACAAGCAGCGTTCTCTGTTGCGCGTATTTTGAAACAGAATTTCCTTGGCAAAGTGCCTGTTTTACCTATAAGAAGCTATACAATCGACTACGCCTTTGTAACGCAACTTGTTGTGAACTACGTGTGTTTCAATCGCCTTTACATGATGCACATCTTTAAAACGTGTTGGACGCTTTTAAAAACCGGTTCGATTCTCACAGGAATTTCATATTCTTTCCCTAACAAACTCTGCGCTATACACGAATGTAGAGATGCTCCATCCTCCAACAATGCTGTGTGCGTTGTAGGAAAAAAATTAATATTAATTAAACTGATCTCTTATTAAGTTTAGTAAAATTTCTCGCAGAATAATTTAATACCTTTCTGATGTATTTCGAATCCTTCTTGCCCAAGCTTTTTAATCATTTTTTCCTTCCATGCTTCTAAAGCCAATTTTGATTCTAGGGGCATAGTTTGTGTAAGAATCTTAGTTACACTGGGAAATTTTATTATTTCAGGATCATTTTGTCCAGATATAGATAATATTTCTGTTAACTGCGTGGAAGATTTTTTTTATCGCCCATAATTGAAAAAAATGGCAAATTTTTTATAATAATGTCAGGCAATTTTTGAGAATTAGAAGATACGTCATACTTTGCAATCGTATTTTCAGTGCTAGGTAAATTTCGATTGGACAACGAGGCATTATTATGAATGTTCTTCTTTATAGATGTATTTTGATCACAGATGTATTTTGAAATATTTACTGCAAAATTATTTTCATCACTATTATTATCTGATGTAATTGTAGACAAATTACATGATGGGTTAGTAATTTTATGTTCAACTTTTTGCAAAACTAGATTAGATTTGGAATATTGAAAACTATGTTTTATGGTCTGATTGTTTGGACTTTTAATTTTGACATTGCTAAATTTTGCCTCAAATATTTTCTTATCAGAATCTACTAGTTTATTCTGTGGCTTGGTGGATGAATTAATCTTTTTCAAATTATTGCCAGAATTTTTCATAATCCATGATAATTCTGCATCTGTTGTACTTGGTTTTTGCTGCGAAATCTTTCCTTTCTTTTCTAATTTTAGCCTTTTTTTCTTTTCAGCATTTGTTTCAATTAATTCACCAAATACTGATTTATATTCTTTCATTAATTTTTTTATCCTTTCAGCCTTCATGCTACGTTTTTTAATAAATCTTTGGCATACACTTTGTACATCAGGTGTTAAAGATAGAATGTGTTTGGAAGTTGTTAACGTAATCATTTTTATGGATTGTTATGTAGTTGCCAATTATTATACAATTAGTTATTAATCAGTCCTGTTAAAAAAATAATTAAATATAACAATACAATTAATAATATTCTGTTTTTTTTTTTATTAAAATATTAATGGATACCAAAAAATATCTAATGTTGTCACTGTTATCAGAAATTAATAAATTTTGCCAGGAACAAGAAAAGTAACGCTTCAATTTTTTTTATCAGAATTATTTTACATAAATAAAATGTATAGTCGTCAAAGGAGACTTTTCAAATCAAATATAAATAAAACTCACTAAGGAAAGAGATTCCTCTTGATGTTAACAGGTTATGTATAGATCAAAATGTATACTAAATATAATTTTCATGAAAAAATCAATTATTTATAAAATGACAGTATCTATCATAGAAAACTAATAGCTATAATAGTTATTTCACTTCTTAGTTAAGACAGTTATTACATCAAATAATAATACACTTCGGACAAACATTAAGGTTATGTAGTAACAACAAGCGCAACAAGCTTAGAAAATTATTATTGCCATCTATTGATTAATTTCCGCAAAATTTTATATTACCATTACATGATATGTTGCTAATCTTCATTATCGACATTTGATATATATATGTATGTATTAAAAGATTTTTATATATTATAATATTCCAGAAATAACATATATGTTAGGCTTATATAAACAAATCTATTTAAAAAATAACGAAAAATAAATAAACGTTTGAAAATTAAGAAAGAATAAAAAATAAGAAATAAAATTTTAATTATGCTTCCTCCTGGGAAAAATCCTGCGGATACTCATAAAATTATGTTTATAAATGTTAAAAATTAATAAACATTTTTTCACTTTGTTTTATTATAGCTTTTACTTTGTTTTTTATGAATTTTGAATAATAAAAAATAAGCATTTAATTATATTTATATTATATGTTTTCAAATAAATAGCATTAAAGATAATTTATGATCTGAAAAAGAATTATTATTATTTCCCAAAAATGTTGAATAAAATATTGATAAACTGAAAGAATGTTTCATAAAAGAAAAATGTATCACATATAGATAATTATTATTGTAAACGAAATCAACGAACTAATAATAAAGATAAAAAATACAAATTTTGATTAGGTTGCCATTAATTATTAAATTTTTAAAAAATTAAAAAAGAATTTTCAATTATACAACACTATATATATAAATACTATTAGAATATGTTACCATTGGACTTAAAAAAAATGTATTATTATTTGTTTGTTGTATATAGAACTTGTACGATTTTCCAGTAAGAACTATTTCTTTAATTATTTTTTTTATATTAAATGCAAGGCGTTTCGTCCTTATTCTTATAATCGAAAAACTGTAAATTGCTTAGGTCGAGCGCGTTAAAGTTCAAGAACAAACCCTATAAGCGCATGATATTATTTAATATTCTAGGCGTATTCTTAGAATATTAAATATTCTAAAAATATGTTTAGAATATTGCTTAAATATTAAATAATATCATGCGCTTATAGGGAAGTCAGAAAAAAATAGAAAAATGATACATATACAGGGTGTCCGGTAACTAACGGATCAACGATTACAAATGGATTCTTTGGTCAATTTGGGAACGATTTTTCCTCAGCGAAAATATCGAAAAGGGTCATCATTTTTTACAACTTTCCAATATTTGTCATTATGTATTTTTATAACTAAGCCTCAAATTAAAATTTTATTATAATAAACTCTACCTGAAATTAACTGAAGAATATAATTATGTTAGACTTTTAACTCCAAAACGTTTAGTTTTCAAAAAACCCATTTTTTTCAATTGCTTATAACTCGAAAATTATTGACTTCTCTACATTTTTGCTAAGGAAAAATCGTCTTCAAATTGGCCAGAGAATCCGCCCTTAATCATTGGTCCGTTAGTTACCGGACACCCTGTATATGACGCGGCAAAAGGTGTAGAAAACTGACTAGTATCTACATCCGGTATCTGTCAACATATCCTCTCGATTTGTGGATGTGGGGTGTGTCGGTGCAACCCTCTCATTGCGTTCGATTTGCGCAACAGCCATTCGCGCATGACCTTTGATGCGCGCATGATTAGCACCTTTCTCCTCTTCCCCCGCAGAAAATTAGCGATATGACATGCTTTATCGTGTGACGTGCACCGACATATCATTAAACCTATCGATCGCGTGCTGACGTAAGGCTTCATCGGCCTCAAGGGCCCTTTCGAAGGCTCGAGGGTCTACCTCGTGCCCTCTTTCCCATGATTAACGATCCTTTTGGATTTTTCTGCTAATTTAATAACAACCTGTTGTCGAATCGAGTTCATGGCTATCCATTTGTAAAACGGTGATTATTCCGTGCACGCGTCGAGCTAACATGAAGAGATAACGCGCTTACATCAGACAATGATATACAACACCGTGTTAAGCACTTGACTCTTTACTTCACCGTTTAGTTTGAAAAAAAGCATTTATTGCCTTGCATTTTAATATTTGAATTAAGATTTCATTGAAAGATTATTCTTAAATTTAGATTTTATTAAAAGTAAAAAGGCAGAGCCATATATGCGACAGTAAAAGTTTCATCCTGGATGAAATTTAAGATGCGCGGAAAATGCATGTCGTTGTATCACATAAGTAGATCAGAATGGGTCTTGCATTGTCGCGTATTTAGGTCGAGAAAACTATATACTTGTAGGATACATCTTTATAAGTATATGCAGTATAGATATACTGAAGAGAAAGAGAAACATCGCGCATGATGTTGTATATTCTTCATGCATGAAGATTAAATCATTCTGAAATTCTCTCTGTCCCAAATTATAATTTTATTCATAATGTAGACAAAAAATGACTAGGCAATGAGTATTTCATGAATCCAAGACTTTTAGTTATATAGCAACGAAAAAAATGAAGTTAAATGACACAATAAAAGAGTTAATACACTCCAAGAGATTCGAAGAGGACGTAATTTTAACGTCGTCTTTAGATTATGCGTTAACTTAGATATTTTATGGAAGAACAATGACGCCGATTCTCCTTCGAGTGACTGATCGATCGACTTTTAATTCCCACCATCGACGTCGATCTCGCGGTTTAACAAAGAATTTTCGTGACGAGTATGCTGTAGAAAAATGATTTTAGAAAGGCGTATTAGCCACGCGTACCTCTACCTTCTTAACTTTACTATCGCTAACTACTATGTTTCTATCTATCTAGGTGTGCATATTCTATCTGCGTAGATATATGATATATCTACAGGCTTATAATTCGTCTCGGTAAGATGCAATGCTGCGAGAAAAGACTCCATCCAAGGTATAAAAGGGGATGCGTCTCGTCGGGTCCGTAACAGTTTCAATAGTGATCCCTGCATCGCCGTATCATTGTCATCATGAATGCTATAGTGAGTAATTTTGATAATTCTTTGAGCAACACCGGATATGGTATGTTATATTCGCGCGTAGAGTTTTGTATAGATTATATATATATATATATATATATATATATCTGCAAAAAAGTAATTTGTATTTTGTCACGAATAGAATCACAGACATCTCAGTTCTCGATGCAGATTATGTTATTAATTTTGATGATAAATGATTTGTAACTTGAAAAATTTTATTACGAATATTCTCTAAAATCAAGTTTTATATATCATGAATTATTATTTATATCTCATATTTAGTTTTTATTCAAAATATGATGTTGTAACTGATGCGCAACAATTTAAAAAGAATTTCTTCTACATTCTTACTTTTGTATTCTACTGAATGTCTATTGGGTAAGAAAGATTAGGGAAAGGTTGTACAAATATTTAGAGTTCTGCAATAATTATGTGAGACAAATCTCTTACAGCTTCTATTAACCATTCTCGGTCTGACAATGCCTATTTTTGGCGAGGAGACACAGGTGAAGAAACGGGACAAAAGGGGCACTCTGGGTTTAAGTCAAGGCTTTGGAGGTTCTGGACTTCGTGGGAATTCTTTAGCAGCAGGTAGTGATCTTTAAATTTTCTTTCCGTGTGATGATGTAACAACTATATTTCCCTGCGGGAAAACTTGTCGTTACAATAATGAATAGTGAAATTTTGTTAATCACTTTATCACTTTGTATACTTGTTATATTTATTTTTCTAATATTTTTTTCAAGAAACTGTATTACGTAGATTTTTGTTAAAAATAAAATAACACTCTTATATGTATAATAATTCAGAAAATATAATATAAATCATTTACAACAAAGTAATATAAATTTTTATATGTAGAATAATGTATACAAAAGGATATTATTTGATTTATTTGATTTTAATCTAATAATATGTTAATCTCACACTTTAATTTTAGGCTACGGACAGCAGAGCTATATCGGCGGCGCTTCTCTAGATCATGGTGTCTCTGCACCTGCTTATTCCCATAACTATAACGCGCCCGCATATTCGTCGCATCGTATCGATTATTCCCGCGGCTCGGGATACGGTGCCTTCGGACACGGTGGACCAGGTTACAACCAGGGAGGACTCGGTTACGCTGCAACAAGACTAGGATACGGCGCGGCTGGACTCGGGTACAATCAAGCAGGACACGGATACAATGCAGCAGGACACGGATACAATGCAGCAGGACTCGGATATAATGCAGCAGGACTCGGATATAATGCAGCAGGACTCAGATACAACACAGCAGCAGGACACGGATATAACGCGGGATACGGATATGATGCAGGATTGGGACATGCCGCTGGTCTTAATACCGGTTACCGTCACGGGTGGTGAAGATATGAGCAATGTTAATCGATGCCGATATGAATCTTTTTTCGATCTTACAACCCTTTTCCAACCATATTATTTTCTTTGCTAAGCTTTGTACATCAATGCGACTTCTCAATAAACTCTCCACTTTTTAATAACTTTTGGAATGCCTTTCTCTACGGCGTTTCTCGGGCGATGGAGACATTGTGATGTTAGTCTCATTATTATTAACGCGATAATATGCCGCTCTTTTTTATGTATGGGCAAAATGTACCTATGTCAGAATTGATAAGTAATTATAAATATATTTTCTTTGTAACCGTAACACTGTAACGATAACGTTATAAATTTTGTTTGAAATTTTATTAGAAGAATAATTTTTGTATTATTTTTCTAGAAAATCAAGTTTAAGATTGTATTTTATAAGTATATATGTATAAAATATAGAATATATTGTATAATTTAATTGCGCAAATTTTACTTTTCATAAAAAAGTTATAAATTATTCGTAATATTTATCAATTATTTTTTTATTATTTTTCTTATAAACAAGTAAAGACTAAACAAAGCTTTCTCTATGAGGAAGCAATATATATAGGAAATAAGAAAAATATATATGAAGACATATTCTATATATAATTATAATATATATGTATATGATTACATATATATACGAGTTTTTCCTGGATACATACTACTTTCTTTTAAATAAGGCAATTAATGTATACATTAATTAAAAATACATGACTTTTTTATGTCAAAAAATGTAGTATCAAGATTTAAAATAAGTATATGTATAAAGTATTTTCGCGCAAATAAAACAGATATAAATATTTAAAAGAGAAAAATTTTTTAAAAAGTTGCACAAAATTATTCATGTATATTTCAGTTACTTGCAGTCGGTAAATAGAATTTCTGTTTTATATATTTACGTAATAGTTCTTTTTGTCACTGCTAGACGTCTAGTTTAGCATTGATGTGAGCATGTGAGATGTAAGGTTGAGTGTTGTAAGGAAGGTGTATTAATTAAACGTTAATTATGAATATCCTGAGCAGAAGTGTAATGAACATAGCAAGAGCTTGCATAGCAAGTTCTACCCAAGGTACTGAAATCACTGCGTGGTTATAATTTAAATATACACACACTTTCTTAATTTCCTAACCTCGAATATAACCTCTAACATTTAGTAAAAAAAGACTGAAAATAATTGTCTTAATAACGAAACTTATTTATACAGTTCATTGATTTATTATTTATTAAATATTAACTTAATATATATATAAAATACGTTATCCATTGAAACGTACATGAAGAATATGTATCTAATTACATGTTTATTTGTGATGTTATCTTATCATAAAAATATAATATAATTATGTTTTATTCCAGGTAGCTCGTCGAGTTTGGCGAAATTCTACGGGAATAATTATAGTCAAGGTAATCCTGTATAATATCAATTTAATATCTAATAACGAACTGACATCTTGTCCTTGGTATTAACAGGAAACATACTAAATGCCGCGAGAACATGTGTGAACACAGCATTGCAAGGTAATAAAATGTTTAAATTTTTATGTGCATACACGCGCGAATATTATATATAATAATAATAATTTTCCACATTTATAACAAAGAATTGATATTTTTCCATTCTGAATAACATTTCGAAACATCAGCATTTATATATAGATCAATATTCGTATCTGATTTGGATGCTGATGAATAATATATTATGACAGCGATTTCTCATTGGTTTGTCGCTTACATAATTTGCAAGTTTCATATTGAAAAAAATAATAAAAGTTATGACTATAAATATGGGACAAAGAAAAAATATTTTTGGAAATTAATCTTAAACAGTCTGTTACCAATTTTGTCTCATGAACACAGAACGCTTAGTTTACGCATATACTTATGTCCTTATTTATAAATATTTTGCTGCAGCTTTTTTTGAAACACATTTACATAATTTTACTTATTACTTATTATTTTTATTAAATTATTTTGAACTATTTTATATTGTTGCTTTTAATATAATCATTTGCAAAAAATCTATATAAGAAAAATCTATTAAAATTGTTTTTAATTAGGGCTATTAATAACATACAACTTTGAAATTTTGTTTATTTAATGAAAATAACATACTGTATAAAATTATACATACAAAAGTATGTAAAATTAAAGTTAAAAATCAAAGAGTAAAATAAATTCTTGAAATTCAAAAAGTGAAATACAAATCGAGACACAAAAAGCAGATCGATAGTCTAATAATTCGTTTATTGAAATATGTGAAATCACAATATATTTCGTATAAAATGTCAAGAGCATTCCTCTCTCGTAACTGCGAAATGGTCCTGGAAAAGATCATCTATAGACGGTCTCGCAAGATACACATCTCTGCGATCTTCTTGGATCCGGCAAGCGCGAAAGAAGTGTTCGACATTTGGGAGGAAGTCGGCTAAATTTCCCATCGCATATTATTCTGCTGCGAAAATACGCGCAGCTTTCACTCTTTGATCCCTACAGAGATCTCAAAACGCAGAAAAGGATCCCATTCGCAAGAAAGGGCTCGGACAGCGTAAAGACGGTGCCCTGGGACCAACGAAAATCGTTGGGAATTGAGGGGGTGACGTGTCCATTTGCGGTTGACCAGTTGTCACTGGGATCAGGGGTACGCTTCTCGCGTGTTTTTCCCTTTTCCGCTTTTCTCGCGTCCCCACAAAGGGCTGGATCCCCATGACCATTCATGAGAAACACTTATGAGAACGTTTGCAAACGACGCCTTATCAAAATTGGACATTTCGTCAATTTAATAATGCAAAATAAAATAGTTTTATTTGTATTTAATTGTTATAAATATCTATGTATTTTTTATATTTTCTGTCCATTTGCCATCTGATTCACGAGAGATTGAGTTATTTCATATATTACATATAGATTTCTATATATTTTTCCCATCTAAAGTTTAGATTACAATGTTTTATACATATATCGGTTTATTTAAAGATTACGACTTTTTCAAATACTTAGCTGAAAAAATCTCGAGTATGAAATATAATTAATAATTTACAAAAACAAATATTACATATATATAATTTACTTTTAATTATAAATTTTCAACATATGATGTAATATTAGACAAGTATTTTGAAATTTTCCAATTGTTACGCATAACTATTTTCTCAATCGTAAGCTCGTAACAATAGAAAAGAGTCTTCTAGTCTAGAAAAGTCGTAGAAAGAAAAGAGGAAAGGGAAGGAAAGTCTTGCAACTATGCAACAAAGGCGCAACAGCGACGTCGCATATTTTCGCAATGTAATCTTACGCATTCATCTTCGGAAAAAGGGGTTTGCCTTTCCTGCATAATAGCGTTTCTAGTTTAGTTAACCCTAACTTAGGTCGGATTAGTCAATGTCCGGCTTTGGACATCTGTCGTGAGCCGACGCGATGGTCAGCCGAATCTCGAAATGAACAACAATGGTATGGTTTCTCAGGACCCCTGCGGAACATCACGTAGTTCAGTCGCATGGAGAAATTGTCATGTCATCTTCAACATTTTAATGTCAAAGAATCATCATCTCGTAACGAATGTCCTTCTGGAACGACTTTGTTCAAATAAAGTCTTCGTTTCAAATAAAATCGAGTTCCCAAATTGCGACATCTTTTTTCGCGATTTGTCAAAGTTTATTCCATCAAGTATATTAATAGTAGAAATACTGGTGTTTAAATCGATTTAATGATAAAGTTAAAGAGATATAAAATAAGTAGAATAATTTATATAAATTATAATTAAATATTAGAACCGGATCTGCTATATATGAGATTTGAGATTTTAATAAAATTTCAGAATATCCCTATTTTAAAAATTAAATAAATTTTTTGAAATAAAATCACATGGGTTAATTTATAGGTACTGTAAACTGTATTTATAATTATTTTTCTTATTCAAAATTATGAAATTTACGAATAAATTTTATTATTAAATATTTTGAAATAATATTTATTTTACGAATAAAATACTTTTGACACTTTTATCTTTTCCTATATGTATTATTTTTTCAAGAACAAAGGCAAAAATAACATATTAAAAGAAAAAGCCTTTCATAAAAGAGATTTCTTTTTGATTGCGGCTTTTCTTTAGCTCTTTAACACATTGCTTAAATAAACAGGCTTTAGCACGTAAAACAGATTCTTTTTTTCACATATGTTAAGCATTCATTTTGCACATTTGCCTATAGGATCACAACTTTTCAAACCTATTTGTGAAACATTTTCGGTTTCTTTGAAGAGTTGTTAACGAAATAATTCTTGCTTTTCTAGAAAGCTTTTCATAAATTACAAAAGAAAAATGTAATCTAGTGGTATCGGTAATATAATGACTTTGACGTTATTAAAGGAAAATGATATTTCGATAACGTTCTTAAATGAAAATTCTAAAATTGTACAAGTTATCTCTTTTATCGCGATTATAAATCAATCATAATATACATTGATAAGTATTTTTGAATAATTTTCTAATAAGTGCGACTAAACATCGTATGAAAAATTTCTTCATTAATAATCACACGAATTTAATTAGGCTTGCAAGATAATTTTATTTTTTTATCCTTTATTCAAATTATTTTTTGCGCAATTACAAAGAATAATTGCATGAATTATTTATATTGATTCAGGATTAGAACAGATCAGATTAGGGTCCACATTGAGGCAAATGATCAGAAGAAATGGGCCATATAAGAAACCTAAACCTTCGAAGAATCCTTTCGATGGCGCGCCATTTATGAAAGGTGTTGTCTTGAAAGCCATCGTCAAGAAACCGAAAAAACCTAATTCCGCAAATCGGAAATGCGTCATTGTTCGATTATCGAACGACAGGGAAATGACGGCGTATGTTCCTGGTAAGATTTAGAATTTATTGCGACAAGTGGTCCCGGCAGGGATATTTTGAAGTTTGGAGTCTCGTAATTCATTTTGTTGGAAAGTTTAGGTGAATTAAATTATTTCAGGAATCGGTCACAATCTACAAGAGCATAATATAGTACTCTGCAGGGTTGGTCGATTGCGTGATGTACCTGGTGTCAAAATAAAATGCGTTCGCGGAAAGTACGACTTGCCGCATGTAGCTAAGCGTGAAACATAATTTATAATTCTAATTAGTTGTTATCAAATTTCATCTGTTGGTATCAAACATAATTTCTATCATCAGAAAAAACCATCAAATGTACCACATTATTATGTATACTTCTATATTAATTATGTATAATATTTACAATACGTATGTAAAAATACGTATAATATTTACAATACGTATGTAAAAATACGTATAATATTTACAATACGTATATAAAAATAATAAATGCTTCTTAAAATGTTTGAGGGAGTGGTATTCTTTATTAACTTTATAATAATTTTATAATTCAAAAATTTCTGCAATTTACACAATAATATTTCGAAACGAATACAGAGATATTTTTAATATCGATTACATCATGAAATAATCGTAACGTTTTCGATAATTCTCTCAATTTTTCCGAAGCGTTTTTTCAATAGAAAAAATCTTATTATTGAGCATTTAAAAGTCATTTTATTCTTTATAAGTTACCTAATAACTATCGTGAAATTGATTAATTTTTTTTAAAGGAACAATACGAAAAATAAATAAGTTTATACGATAAATTTAAAGAATCTGCTATATAGTTTTTTAACGAGCGTTGAAGATATTGTTGAGGTTGTTACAGTTGACGTTATTCTAATACATATGTCGCATAATCGATCAAAGTTGCCTACGCGAACGCGATTGGAAAGTGATTTTTGTCACGGTCCCGAGATAGCCCTTAGCAAATTGCGGTCCTTTGACACAGTTTTGGATTTGTGCCGTCCGAATCCGCACCCTGCGTTCACCGTTACCTGAGGCCATACGGCTTAACGGACAATACACATCGAGATGTCATAGTGGGAAAAGGGTTGTGCCACAGCCTCCTCTTTCTCATTATTACGGTCGAACTTTATGCATCTGCAGCCTGCAATCTCCAGCTTCGCCCACGTAGCCACTCTCTATTGACCATATGACATGCTGACCAATATTCCGACATTTTGGGAAGTCCGGCTCTCAACCTGAATTGGAACCCTTCGGCGACAAAGAAAACCTCTTGCATAGAATCTTACATCAATTTTCTTGCATGGATATAACAGTAAGAAAGTCGTTACTCTTAATGCATTTTTTTACTTACATATTACTTTATATATTTTTCTGTTTTAATCGTGCAATCAAATTTACGTGTTCGTTAAACTAAGGTGAGCATAATAATTGTTGTATTATAAATGTAGCTCTTGTCATCGAGTGCTGAGATTATTTAAAATATATATTTCCGACTTCTCTGTTTATATTTATTTTTTTATTAGCATGTTTTTGATTAAATGTGGTATGTGTGCATGTGTATGAATGAGAACCTGTTATAGAATAGGGCTCCAGTTATCCCAAGGGATAATGATACTACGAAGCGCCACGAAGCGTGCGTACGCCATAATGTTCTATTATAAACTTCCGTATAACATCTCCCTATTTTGTGAGAAATACAGCTGACGTCATCGTTAATTACTCACAAGTTGATTGAGTTTGTGGATAATAATTTTTTTGAGAAATAAGTTTATATATATTGTAAAATTATAATTTTTTTAACGTTTTTTATCTTTGTTTTTAAACTATTCTTCGAAGCAGTTTTGACACAGTAGTATTAAAAACATTAGCACTAATTATTAAAAACACAGTTTTCACGAAAATCAAGTAATAACTCAAAAAAGCTAATTGTTACGCCGGAATAAATAAAGGAATGTACGCGGTGAAAATATTTATTAATTATTTAAATATTAAACATTTTACTTTTTAATTAAGTATTTGAATTTAAATTAATTTATTATAATCAGGCAAAACACTTGAGAGAAGCCCAAGCTTTATAGAAGAATATGTATATGCGTTCTTCTTTATATAGTATAATTAGATTAATTAAATTAATTTTTATTCCATGCAAATTGATTCGTGATAATCATAATATTATTCTACTTTGTCTGATAAAATCTGTTTATGAGGAAAAATGCATTACATATACATATTCTTGAAATTTCAGGAATATGATCTAGACTTGTAATTCAAAAATCCTTTGACACTTCTAGTATCATAATATATTTAAAATATCGATTAGTGTATATCACTTTAAATGTGTTTGTTTTATATTTTATTAATTTTTTATTTTATTTTTATATTTTATTATATTTTTATTTTAACAGATAGTAAGTCTAAATTAGAATTGTCTTAATGTGGTATCGATCAAAAACTCAAACAACAATATAGAATAAAAATAGTATATATATTATAGAATATTTTAGGCAAGCGCTAACGTCATTAATTGCGTAGTCTTTCTAATCCCTAATGAGCAAGAACATTAAGAATGAAAGTCTATATAATAGATAATAGTTTTCAGCCTAAACGGTATGATAATTATGGTAATTAATGTACAAAGAATAGGAATACTCACTTTAACATTATTTTATCGAATATAATTTTATGTATTAGAAAAATATATATATTATGTATTTATTTTTATTTATATAGTCATATAACACGCAAAGATATTGTTTATAACATACAAAGATATAATTGTTTTAGTTCTCTTTTCATCGACAACTCGAGTTAATCAGTTGAACCGTTCCACGCCGTGAATTAATCGATCTGATTGATCAGATTTTAATTTAGCCTAAATCGAAAATCCTGCAAGAGTATTTTTACACATTTGGCACATGAGAAACGAAACTGGAATTTCTGTTTCAAACATTTCAAAAACAGACGCCCACAAAGTATCTTGTGACACAATTGTCGCGTCGAACTGATTCAACAATGATGCCGAAAGAAAGTTTACAGTATTTGAGTTTTCAAATGACTGGTACTCTCGAAGGTTTCTCAAATACATATTGAATAAAGGTTCAACTCTTTGCCGTTCAGCTTAGTAACCTTACACCGTGCATCTCTGCTCCTACATTTGTTCAGTTTGACGCACACTGCTACTCTTTCTACATTATGAGTATTTTATTTTATACATATGCTCAGCCACATGCCATTATTTTACATAAATTCTAATAAAATTATTCCATTCGAAAAATTATCAACACTGGCGAGTAATTTAATTTGACTCTTATATAGAAATATTTATGAAAATAGAATTAATATGATTAATATCTAACATGATATACACTTCTTTCTTCTCGGCCACAGAGCCAAACGCGATGCTATTGCGAAAATTAAGTAAGAAAATTAAGGAATCTGAAAATTTATATCCTGTGGTTGGGATCTCAAGAATTCTCCTTGTTCCTCTTTTAACTTCCCCTGTAAAGTCCCCAATCACAGGATACAAAATTTCAGATTCCTTAATTTTCTTACTTAATTTTTGCAATAACATCGCGTTTGGCTCTGTGGCCGAGAAGAAGAAAGTGTATATCGTGTTTTATATTAAAAGAGCCGGATTTAATATTCTTAATAATCTTATTGTTGATTAATATCTAATTTCATGAAAAGATTTTGATTTTTGTTATTGATTTAGTATTTAGATAAAATCAAATTTAATCTAATTTTTTAAAAATTAATTTGCAAGATAGTTATTTGATAATTATAAAAATTTTTATATTACTTTTTAAACTTTAAGAAACAAGTCTTCAACATAGATATATTCTTTATATATTTTGTGATATTTCATAAATATTACATAATATTTCCACAATTTAAATCAAGTGTAACCCTTCGATATTTACACATACATACACAATAAATATCGAAGAGATCCAGCTGAATGCAAAGAGATGTTTAGTCAAGAAATACAAAATCTATTCGCGATACAAATTAAATGCGAAATGATTTATCGAATAACATCATAAATAGGATATCTACTTAAATTTTGTAAAAAAATTTATATGTGTATAAAATTTAATGAAAATAGCTTAATTTTTCCAGATACACAAATAATCTTTGAGAATTTAATTTTTTTCCATGTTATTTTGAGGAAATAGAGTATCCTATGTAAAATGAGAGAAACTTTCTGTCAAAAATGAATATAAACATGCACAACCTTAGAAAAAATATGACGACTTTGGTGGTCAGTTTACAAGATAAATTGAAAAATAATTACCCCTGAAGAGTGTTGGGCGTGTTCTTCTTAGGGAGATTCCTACATCCCATATTACCGTCACATACGGCCATAATGTTCTTTTTCCCCCCTTTTTTTTTTTTTTTTTTAAGACTAACCAGTTTTGGTGTTAGATAAATTAATAAAAGATCAACTTAAATACGTCTCAAACACGTCAAGCTTCGAAGGATTAAAAAAAAGAAGACCTACTAATTTAGTAATAAATATAGTTAATATTAAAAAAAAATACAAAATATTTTCAACCTCTATTCAACCTTGATTTTTTAAAAAAATTTCCCTAATTACAGTAGTAATAATAATTTTACATTGCATCGTCACATAAAAATCAAAAGTGTGAAAATGAAATGCATATATCAAAAAGCGAATATTAATAATAAATTTTGTAGCACATCCATTCAGAAAGAAACAATCTCTAAAATTTTGCTAATATTTTAATAAGTACGATACGTATATTTTTCTTATATAATAAAAAGGAAAAAATGTGACGAGTTCACAATTTATTTTTTTTTAGATTCTATTTTATATATTTTAAATATTTAAACACATTATAAGAAAATCACATTTTTCATATTCTTTTTTAATATAAAATAAATTTAATATAAACATCCATTTTACAGGATGTCTCAAAGCATCCCTTACAACGTTCGTAAATAGATGGGGTACAGAAACTGAACAGAAAATTGCGAATATCGCAAAATGGTATAAGACTTCCGTTCAGTTTATTTCGAGTATTCATTAAATGCCGTCAAAGAGATAGAGTTTTAAAGAAGAAAATCTGAATAGATTTGTTCAGTACATAATATACAGTAGACTACAAATAAAATTAACGATTCTTTTAGCCTTGAAGCATTAAGTTCGATTGTATCTCCGTTTATGTTTGCATTTCGTATTTTTGACTCATTGTTCTCGTTTATTTTAACCTTTTTTCGTTTATTTTCTCCTTTTATTACATCTTTTTCCATTTTCGGCTTTTCGAAAAATATTTGCCTCATTTATAACATCATGGATATTATGTACAATATTCGATAACATCTAACTATTTTGAATAGCAATAATTATTTTATATTATATATAATTCTCCAGAGATAATATTTGATATGATTTTGGAGATTAAAGCCATATGATCTAAACTGATTTAGAGAAAGATATAATTTATGACTCTAATATTTGTTATCTTGAGGGTTTTAACAATTTTTCAAATAATATTTTTTTAAATAAATTGTCTTTTTGAAAATTATATCTAACTTTTTTCGAATTTCTCTAAGCATACATTTATAAGAATAATCTTTTGTTATAATAATTTTTTGTAAATATAAGTTACACAACAGATTTTATCATTAAATAAAAATAGCCATTGTCACGTCGGTTATCTCATAATGATTTTATAATGATGGTTTATCAATCTGATATGATTAGAAATTGTATTAGAAATTTGTATTTTTAAATCCTCTAAATATAAATTGATGCGAAAGAAATGGATTCTGTTATTATATATATATAATTTTAATTGTTGAAGGAAAGTTTGGTTGCGCGTAAAAATAACGTAATATTTTTATCACCGCTTAATTCAGTTTGATAATTTACGTAAATCGTCATACTAGTCATTAGACTAATTACAAAGTAAATAATGAAGCCAGAATTAAATCGATCACGATTACGTTGATCACGATTACACGGTCGAGAAATAAACAAGAAATCACGTAAACATTGCGTGATGAGAGCACGCAGCTATCTTACGACGTCTTAGAATTTGTGTGGCAACAATACGACATATTGTGTATATTATATTATACATTCTGTCCACATAAATTTACAAGCGAGAGAGCCGATCCACGTTATACGTTGATTTTTATATTTCCCAGACAACAAAACGTCTACAATCGGGACACAACACGTCTTAAAGAAGTCATCAAGATGTCTTTTCTAGCCATCATTTAAAATGTCTTTAAGACGTTAATAAGATATCTTTAAGACATCTTACATGTTCCGATTTTAGACGTTATGTTGTTTGGGTTGTTAATAATCTTTTTTCTCAAAAAAGGTTTGCGTTCCGTAATTTTGACAGTGGATGATCCAGGTTAACGGGACATCTGGCTGCTCGTGGACAATCTCGCAAATTCAGGTATTTCGGAAAAGCGTCCATCCGGTATACCGTTACGAAAGGATATCGTCACGTGCGTTTGTGTGAGTGTGCGGCAGATGCAAATAGCGAGATGCATTCATCTGTCATCGGGATCGTCGCGGGAAACTTCGGAAAATAACGGGTTACGGTCGCCGTTCGTGGACACCATAGAAAATATGGGTTATGCAGCCAAAAGAGCAGCGAAAATTTGTATACATGGGAACGGAGGCGGTACCTTGTGAATTGAGCATCGGAGTGCTTTTCTATGAATGACAAAACGCTTTAACTAGGCCTGGAGGAGATGACTAAATTTGGCGTGATCACGAGACGCCGACATAATAAGGCGTAAAGTGAATCGTGTGAATCGCAATTCAAGCGTATTCTCCTTCCGACGATTTTCATTTTTATTTTAATACAAGCCCACAAGTATTTTTACCGCGAATCAGGGATGAAACATTAATGGATAATTGAAAAAAATATGAACGATCGATTTTCACGAGATAAAATTGCGATTATTTTTTTTTTCAAATGTTTTAAAATCAGATACATTTTTAGGGATATAAGTAAAGCGCATTTCAATCTTTTATTTTTTACGATATTAGAATTTGCATATATAAGGAGCACAGAACTGTTATATCATTAATCATTGTTTCTATGCCGTTCTATATTACCGATTCTTGAAAAGAAATAGAAAGAAGACAGACTTTTCAAAAGAAAAGTCACATAATTTAAGGGCAAAGAGTTTAAATCATTCTGTATATTTTTTACGTCAATCATGTTATTTGGTTCTAAATTATAGAACATGCAATATAATAAAAGTTATTAAAATTAATGAAAGTAATTCTTATACACAAGGTAAACTCTTTATTTTAATATTACTAAAGTAATGGCAAGGCTAAAGAAATTTAATGGATAAATTGTCGAACGACTTTCAACTGAGTGACATTTGCATTTTTAGAGTGACATTTTGCATAAAGCAGCTTTGTATTTACAAATTTATGAGCATGGTTGTAAATAATATATAGAATGACTTAAACTCTTTGCCTTTAAGTTATGTGACTTTCCACCCTTTCTCTTGAAATTTGTCGTTCTTCTAGTTCTCATGCGGACTCTTTGTAAGAATCGCGGCATGAGACATACAATGATGAACGATAATGGTTCTGCTTCTATGCAAATTCTAAGAAAATAAATCCTTTGACAGTACTTCCGTCAGTTAATTAAGAAATTTTTCGATCTTTTCAATCTTATTTATTCAATCTTGATCCTTTAAACTATTAAATAATTTTCTTTTAAAACTACTGATTTATAGTTTCATCTAAATGCCTTTTTTGAAGAGCCTCTATATAAAAACCTGTTTATTTAGTACTCATTCAATTCCTAAATACATTAAACATATCAATATGCTTTCAAATCTATAAACCAATTAATTCATAAAACAATGTGATTGAAAATAGAAGGAAAGTTTCGATACGGATGTGCTACAATATTTTTTTCTCTTATCTGTGTAAATACTCTATTTAAATTTATTCCAATATGCGAATAAAATCCCTTTATTCTGAAATCATCGAAGTTGAATTTCTCCGCTATTTTAAAGTCATTCTTTAATTCGCACTCAGTTTTATACAGAATAAAAATGCCATTGCTTCTCGTTTTCTCACTCTACACATAATCACATAACAAGTGTAGTATAGCATTTCTCAATAATTCCAAGTCGTTAAAAAAATCTAATCCACAATAATGAAAAATCGAAAAGAAAAGACATAATAAAAAAAGGTATATCGATATCAGCTTAAAATATTCGTGACAATTCTTACGAGAGGTAATGTTAAATTTGAAAGACAAACATTTCTCGTTCAAATTTTTAATTACCGAAAGAAATGTGGAAATATATTTGTGTTTCTATAAATAGATTTCTCTAGAAGTGCTACAGAAAAATTAATTAATTTTCTATATAATTTTTAATTTCCACGGATAGCTCAATAATGACATTAAGTTATCCAAAATGAAAATATCGTTATTTATAATCGCAATGCTGTTTATAATAGGGAAAGAGATTTAAATCATCTTAATCATTAGTCAATAATATTTATGTATTAAACATTACCGTATTAATGTTTTAAATTTCTCTTTAATACTCATATACTGAAAAAACCAGTCTAGATTTATATATATTATATATGAATAAAGAAATAAGAATTTATAATTCGTAAGAATCCAGAGAGATATTACATCGTATTTAATGTGGATATCACGAATCATGGATTTTTGTTTCATTCTTTTTTTCTTGATTCTTAATCAGTAACGTGTCTTAATTGTCACTTTAATCAATTTTGATAAACTAATTGCATCAGAGAATCTCTCCTCGATTACAAAATATAACATCGATAATTCTCAGTCTATTATTGATCATTATTTCATTGTATATACGTCGATACGACACATAGTATTATAGCTATTGTGTCTCCGACGAAAGGAGAAGATAAATACACGACGTATATTCCAGCCATTTAACATTTCAAAATAGAAATATTTATTATATTTCGTAGTATATATTTAGTAAAAAAAATAATAATAATAAAAATGTAATTTGAGTCAGCGAAGTTGTACAAAAAGTAGGAGACTTTTGGACGTGGTTTGGGGCGTGGTTCCTAGTTTGTGACACTTTAAAAATATCGACGACAGACACGTGCCGATTTCGGGACTGTAGCCAACAGGTAGCACAGTTTCCCCACCATGCCCTATCCTAAGGGTTCTTATGTGGGGCCTTAAGGGTACTATATATAAGCTGACCGCTTCATCCCTAAGATTAGACGAATACGGAGTGTCGCGTAGTGAACACGATACGGATGTCAAAAAGGCACAATACTTTTATTCCTACACGTATTTTCATCCGCGATCGCGATTTAAGGATAAAATAATAGGAAAATATCGAGTCGTCGATAGTGTTGTGTTATCAGTTCGTGTAACCTTGGAGTAAGATTGAATTATTAGGTAAGCAGATTGATGCTTATTTATATATAAACGAATTGCGATGGAAAGGAATTCCATTGGATATTAAATATTATGTTTGCGCTTTATTCTTACGATGAGTCTTCCTTTGGATCGTAGATTAATATAAATAACTATAAATATTGATTAATTATTATAAAATGTCTATTTTTGTTGGAAATTTAAGGCAAATGCAGATATCTACGTGTATTTATTTTACAGAATCGGAAGAAAATTTCGGTATATTTTATTAATTCATACTGTCGAATGCGAATTGTGATATATGATAAAATTAATTTATTTCGAGATATTTGGCAAGAAAAGAATTTTTGCGAGTCGCTTCTTCATAATAAATATGATTGTAGTTAGAGAAGTTTAAACAATTTTTTAGTAAATAATTTTTAAGTTTAAATAATTTTCCGCGTAGAATTTGCCATATACATATGTACAAAACTCGGTTAAAGAAATTGAAAATAATCTTATATTTCGCACACAATTTATAATTGTTTGTCAATAATTTATCTTATTATAGATTATTTTATCATAACTAAAATGTGTTATATTTTGTATTAAGCTGATAGAAGGATTAAATTCATTCATGTACAAGATATTATTTTATTTAATTTTGAATTTATAAAATTCAGCGCATTGCATTTAAATTTAATCATCATAAAAATTATCTAATATATGAATTTATTTAACATACACACACCCATATACATTTATTCTTATTTTTAATACTTTATTCGTGAGATGTAAGAATATATCTACTTTCCACTTACTTTATCTTTTTGTCGATAGTCGTAGTACATAAAATATTTAGATATGATGCATTTTCTTAGAAAACGTTATTTAATGAGTGTTAAAGCATTCGTATTTAAGAATTCGTATCTAAGGTATGCGCATTAATAACTTTCGTTACATATTTTTATCGATAAAATATTGTCAGGAAACTTTCAATTACTGATCAGTCGCTTGAAAAAGTATTAAAAGATAATTTGTAAAATGCATACAAAAGCACTCACTATTATCGTTATTAATGCATGTATATATCAATTCCTTGAATAAGCATCAATTTCGAGTAATCGGATATTGCATAAATTATTACATATAAACATTACATTGTAGATCTCACATTGTGTATCGAGGTTTTCTCGTAGTGCAAAGTTATTTTTTTTCATTAGAAATCAGATATGAATAATTAATGATAGAACTGTTTTATATTAATTATTACACAGATGTTACATAACATTAACTTTATATTACCTTTATATAAAAAGAAAAAAGTAATTTTATTATAAAATATTCTTGAATCTGAATTGTAGAAAAGTTCATGTTGTGAATGTGCGTGTGTGTATGTTATATGATAATCAGGATTTATAAAATATTTTCAAATTAATTAAAATTTCGTCGAAAAGAATTTGATATAAGCTTTACAATTAAACTCATAATTCAGAATGTTGTAACTGACAGTATAATATATCTTAAGGATTTTTTGCATACAACTCTTAAATTTTCAACATTTTTCTCATTTGTAAAATATTAATAATCAATTATAATTAATTAATAAATTTTTAATAGTTAAATATTAATTAATGAATTATATTTTATTGCAGATAACAATACAAAACACCATAAACGATGGAGCAAAAGAACACGAATGATTCTCAGACTTGGGATTTATCTTATCGTACGAAGGCCAATTTAGATTCAGAAAGAGAATCTGAATTTCTGAATTATCCTAAGGTTCTAGACTTGTCATGCAAAAACCCCGTGTCACCTGTAACAACTAGCACGAATACAACAGCCTGTTTATCTCAAAGCTCGCCTGCAGATACGAACAAGCAACATCAACATTCAAGTTTATCAGATGTGGAAAAACAGAGTTCTTTTGCGAACAGCATGCTGTTGTCATCCTCTGAGCTGAAATCATTGATGCAAATGACCGAGAAGTGCGAATCATACAACAGCATTGGCGGTAAAATTAACGAAAGTTTACAACAACTTGTTCCATCTTCGACCGTAACAATGGAGGTTCCAACTTTGTCTCCGCCGCATTTATCTATGCATCTAAACAACCAGACCATAACGATTCCAACAACGACATCAACAATCACATCGACATCTACATCATACGTGAGCACATCTTTGCAGACAAATGATGAAACCTCCAAAAATCTGCTAAACTTTATGCCTGAGCCGTCGGCTCAAATCGCAATGTTCCCAGCAGCGTTTGATGCGATAAAGAAGACAGCAAGACCTTTCAAAGCATATACGAACGATACTTTACTTATAAATAGATCGAGAGAAATAGTCGACCCTATGCTTAATCATGAGTCGAAAAAGAATTACTTGCAATTCCGGGCGAAGATGCTCGAGTCTGTTAAAAAAATTAACTTACCAAATCCTAAAATGCGTCGAACAATCAGAAGTCCGGGAGAACCTACTAGCACTGCTGATGAAAAGACCGCCGCTTATTATGAGAGAAGAAGGAAAAATAACGAAGCAGCGAAGCGTTCTAGAGATGCTCGAAGGGCCAAAGAAGACGAGCTTGCTATCTGGGCAACCTTTCTCCAAGAAGAGAACGCAATGCTGAAGAGTCAGTTAACAAGATCATATTATCTGTTACAACAAGAAGGTTATAATATAAATCATTTGATGACATATAATCTTATTTGAAAGTAATATTTCGAATGTGTTTGTATATGATAATAAGCAATGATCTGATCTGGTCTGACATCCGATATCGACCGATTATTCGGAACATTAGTATATATGTAGAGCATATATATAGTTAATGCATCTAGTATGTTATATTGTATGTATTTGTGTATGTATATATATATATATATATATATATATATATATATATATATATTTATACATATATGTATATAAAAGTATATGTACAATCATAAATATACAATCTGCACGAAAACGTATATCAATGCACTACATGTATACTACATATTATTTATTACTGCATGTTATATATTATATACTATACAATGAATATGTAACATATACATGCATATAATATGTATATGTATATATGAATATATATATATATATACATATACATATATATTGTGTATAATGTAAATATATACATATAAATATATAAAATTATTGTTAAGTATGTTTGAAAAAATATATATGTATGATATATATATATATACTTATTATATGATATATACTCTTTTTCTGTCAACTTTTCATGTATAGAATACCATTTATTTATCTCAATAAAATTTATACATTCCTAGAAAAGGATAAGTCTCTTAAAATGTTTTGTCAATGAAATTAAACAGATTTTGTACACAAAATGTCAATCAGGTAATGAATCTGCAAGTTCTGTCATAACTTCTGACTCAAGAACATTTTTTTCTCTATTTTGATTATTTGTAAGTACTTTTGAAAACGATTTTTGTACTTGCCTAGGAATAAAAACTAATGGTGTTGTTATTTTAGTTTTGATATTAGTATTTGGAATTGTTTGTAAACTAACATTATTTCCGCAGACTACATTGGTAGTACCTTTTGGAAACATTTTGCTTTTCTGATTTTTTAAGAATATTTTACTAGGTTTTTTCTTAATTTTATCATCAACATCATCAATTTCCATTCTTTTTGATTCGTCTTCCTTGGTATAGTGTTGCATGTTGTCAAACCGATATTTCTTTGGAAACTTATGTATTTTTATGCAATGTTCCCTTCTTTCCACTGGATCATTAAACTTTATGTTGCATTCAGAATCATAACATTGATACTAAACAAAAATATTTACATTAAAAATACATTTATAACAAAACTATTACAAAAAATTTAAATTGAAAGATAAATATACATACCATGGCTTGCTTTTCAGACAAAATCTTAAAGAAGGCATCGTGTGTCTCTTGAATATGAATTTCCAACAATCTTGGACTTGGTCTAGATACTTTACACTCTGTACAAGTATATCGATGAGAACTATTATAATGTATTTCATAATCAAATAAAGTTTGGAAAGTAGCCTGGCATCCTGGGACATAACATGGAAACTCTCTGACACTGAAATAAGATATTGACATTATTATTTTATTCTAAATAAAATATACATATATAAACATACGTACTCTACTACTATTTAAAAAAAATTAAATTCAAATAATTTTGATATTCTATGAAAATCTTGATTACTTTATAGTATTCTTTAAAGAGAGGAGTATATAATTTTAAGCCTAATAAGTTTTAAAATATTTACAATATTTGTAGGAAAAAATAAATGATGTTTATTATATTTTGTAGGAAAATATACTCACACTTCATGACACAATTCCTCCTCATCGTCAATTGTGATACCTTTCCTTTGAAATACTTTACAAACTTTATAGGAATCATCGAAGAAGGGATCATTTACAGATCGAATCCCAATTCCCAATTGTTGAAGAACTTCTTCCATAATTAGCAAATTACAAAATACTAGGTAGATAAAATTACGTCTTCACATAAATTCAATGTAATTCTATTTTTTACATGTCAATAAATCAGTATATATGTATCATCCAGCAATACAATGTTGTCTTAGACTGTAATACGTTTTTATCCAAATTAATTCAAAAGTTGATATTGAGTGATATTTATTATATTTATTAAACTTGAGAAAGACACAAGTGTGTTTTTGATGTTTTGCAGGCAATACTAACCTCTTATTTAGCAATATCATTTTACCGACAGTCGTTAAATAATTTGGACTGTTGTAATTCTGGCCTTATAATACAGATGGCGACATTAGGCAACAAGAAGACTTTCGCGCCAAACTTTGCCGCCATATTGTGGAAACATAGTGCGCGCATAGAGTTGCTGCTCGTGTTATCTTTGCGGAAAAAACGCGCGGAAGAAATGTGCGGAAGTGTTCGCAATCGAAAACCGGTAACGTATAACTCATTAACGCAAATAGTATAGTTTGTTGTACGCTAGACATTATAAATCTTCTTAAAATTGTATGTATTTTGTTTTACTTGCAACTGTTGCATATGATTGCATCGATCCGCGACAATAATAATCGAAAATCATCAAATATTTCGTAAATCTGAGATCGCGTGCGGTTTTAAATGACTTACGCATGTTTATTTGAATTGCGATGCGTTTTGTATGCTAAATTTCGATATGTTTGTATCTCTCTCAAAAGTGAGAGAGAGAGGGGGGGAGGGAAAGGGAGAGGGAGGGAGAGAGTGAGTTCAGCTCATCTAGAGTCAAAAAGGTAGGATTATACTATATCAAAACTTTATGTAATGTGTGTGTGATTAACTCAATATAAAGAAACATAGTAAGAGACAAAAATTTTGTCATTGTATATATATATATATATATTCGCCAAACTTAATTTTTGACTATTTATATCCGGAAAAGGATGTGTCGAGCGTCATGCATATATATGAACCTAACTAAATATACTTAAATTTATTCTAGTAAGAAAAACTGATTTAATAGTATAAGTTGACATTAATAAAATGTATAATTTTATTTTCTTACGATATAGAATATAATAACAATTAACGTAAATGATATATCATCGACATAAGGCATATAAGTCATATAATAATAAGTGAAGATATACATAAATATTGATACACATTTGAAAATTGCCTTATTCAACTAACAATCGTGTTTTTAAATTTTCCAGTATTTCGGTCATCTTATTTTCTAATTCGTTTCTTCTTTGTATTTCTTCTCTTTTTTCCTGAAACATATGTATGAGTGCTAAAAGATATTTAAATGATATAAGACAATGTAAACAATTTTTAATTTATAAAACAATTTTATTTAGAATAACATATATATTTATTGATAAAGATTTATTTGAAATTATTTCCATTAAAATATATAATTAATTATTTAATTTTAAAAATAATTTAATTATGAATTAAATTTCTAAACAGAAATTTCTAAAAATTAACAAAAGAATTATATTATTCTATCTGCTTTAATTAAATATTATTAGAACATTACTGAATTTGTGATTTATGATATTATATAAATTAATAATTTGCCCTTTAACATATAAAATTCTAAAATTATTGAACCGTATAGAAAGTTATTTGCATTTTTTAATATATATTTCTCCTGTCACAGGTTTGTACAAATTTTATTTTATATGAAATGTATATTATCTATCTGTATGTAAATTATTTGTCTTGATGTATATATATTATTTATCATGTGTATATTGTCCTTTATATATATATATATATATATATATATATATTAGAAAACAAAAGGAGAAAGGGAGAGAATACTATAATATATTATAGCATATAAATTTATAGATGCTTATATTATATGCTGTTAATATTTTCATTAACAATTAATTATTTTCTTTAACAATTAATAACATTCTAATAACAAATTTTATTCAAATCTGAAATTACATACAATTTGAAAATTTCGTGCCAGCAACAGATGCTGATATTAAACATGTGATAAATCTTCTACGTCACAAAATAAGTTTCATTAATATAATATACAAATTATGTAACAACCACGTCGCATATTTTACTAGAATTCTTTCTACCGGAAATACCGAAGTTAAATATTGCGTATAAAGTCTACGTAATGGATCGGTCCGTTCGGTTTTAATTGCCTCTGCTCCGATATCTTCAAGGTCGCTACTTTATTCCTGTACTCTGTGACTGTAGCTTTCTCCGTATCATTTTCCGGTTCATCGGCGTGTTGCACGACACTTTCATGATGATAAACGACCGGTTCGACAGGCACGTCCGATTCTTTCACAATTTTACCATTCTCTTCAGCAACTTTCAATGCGTCGCTGCTTTCGCCCGCGAAACTATAATCGTCCTTGTTGAAGCCGAAGAAGTCGTGCGCGCTCTGAGGATCGTCGAAGGGTTTACTTGTCGGGATCGGTTGCGGAATCCTTGCCTTATTATTTTTGCGTTGGTCCTTTGGTTGCGAATTCTTTTGTCTCGTTAATGGCCGCGAATAACGCGAATTTAAAGGTCTACTTTGTACGTTCTGATTTGAAGTTGCCACATTCTGATTCTGCAGTTGCACGAAGACCGGAGAAGGTTGTTCGGCTTGCGATTGATATATTTTGTTCGACCAATTTTCTATATTAGGAGTTTGAGTTCTTACGTTAATATTAACTGATTCTTTGCCTTCAGGATTACTTTCTCCAAAAATATATCTATAACGATCGAGAACATTGATTGGTTCTTCAGGTGGTTGATGATAGCGGTCTCTCTTGGTCTCGTTCAGATTATATTTGGTAAGATTAGAGTTCGTTCGGATGAATTGTTGATTAGTATTTTGTTGAGGAACGTGGATTTGATTTCGCTGATACGTGCCTTCGGTATTGAGATGATAATCTGAATTTTGCGGATTTATGTTTTCGTTTGGGAAATAATAAACATAAGGATTTCGATAGGGATTTGCTGAGTTACCAACGACCACCAGATAACCGGAAGGTTGTTCCGAAGAGTTGTCGTTCGCGTCATTTGCCGCGATATTTTTTACATGTTGGTAATAATTTAAAGGATAATTCTGCGAATTCGGCGAAATTATAGTGTTCACCGGTTGCGTATTGTCGAAGGCGTAATCAAAAGGCGGTGGCCATACTTGCAGTTCCTTGTGCTCGCCTTCGTGCAATTTTCGCGGTCGTTCCGGTAAACCGATCTGCGGAGTCAGCTTCTCTTTGGCGAGGGTTCGCGTGGAACCGACGTTGTTTCCGGAAAATCGGCCGTTCGGCAATTTATTCGTGTCTTCGTAGATCAGCTGTCGCGTCGTCGCCTGCTGCGTCTTCTCATTCGCATCGATGTAACGTATAGGCACGATCAGAGGCACGTGTTTCCCGAAATCGATTTCTTCCTTTGTGGTCTCGAATTTCGCGGCATCGTCGTGCAGAATATTTTGCCTTGGCGGTCCAGTTTTCGCGCGATTATCCTCGACACGAACACGTCCTGTTTTAGGACCTCGCGCCGATGTAAGATTCTGAAGTTTTTCGTGATCTCTGTCATCTCTTTGCGCTTCACCCTCATCATTCAAGTCGTACTCTTCATATTTATTCTTCGGCAAGGCGTATTCTTCTCTGAGTTTCTGTAATCTAGTCAAGTGTTCCTCGTAAGCGTCTGCGGTAGATGGCCTTCTTTCATCTTCCTCAGATGCGTCTTCAGGATTGCGAACACTCTGCGAATCGTATACGTACGGATGCTTGAACATGCTAAGGTAACCGGCGATTCTGTCGTCCTCTAATTTTTTATTGTTCAATATTTCACCGTAGCTGTCGCGGATCATTTCAGGGTGACCTTCGTGATAATAGTCGCCGAGAGGTAATTGCTGATTATAGCCGATTATATACTTATCGAAGTTCTCAGGTTGCTTGTATCCGCGAAACGGTTTGTCGGAATCGTCGTCTTCAACCTCCTCTTCGCTTTCATCCTTCTTTAGATGCTGCTTCGAAGACTTATTTTCTTGATTACGTTCTTCGTATCTTTCGGCTGAATCTTTTTCATCATCATCATTTTCTTCATCGTCATATGCTGGTTTTTTCTTCCCTGTTGGTTTGTAATTGGAAGCGTGCTCTGGATTTCGATTAGCGATTTCCTCTTCTCGGTTTCTATCTCTCTCGATTATCTCGTCTTCTTTATGATGTGTATTCCTGTCGCAGTTTGTCCGTACCTTCTGATCCTTCAGCTGTTCAACGCGCTCTTCCTGTTGCTGTTTATCATTCTGCTGCGAGCTCGGCTCGTCGATGTGTAATTGATGATTATATATGTTCACCGGTTTCATCACGTCCTTCTCATCGTAGATATTCTTTTTCTCCACCGTGTATAGTTCTTTATTCTCATTATTTTTATATATCACTTCCTGCTCTTTCCGAACCGGCGTTTCCGCGGTCTTGTTTGCTTCGTTCGCGATTGAAACATCCGGGGTGAGATTCAACTTGATATTCTCAATCGGCATGAGTGGTATAAGATCAGGCGAGATTGGCAACGGAATCTTCACGAAAAATGGCGCCAGCAAAGGTGGTCTGGTCACCGAGTTCATTCCCGGATCCGGAATTGTCGGGAGAGACATCGGCATCGATATGGGTCGCGGGATTGTATTTGTCATGTTATTTTGACGACCGTGAAAGATCTGCTCGTAGCGCTGAAGGTGCCCCACAATGTCTGAATTATTGCCGAAGTTTAACACCCCGGTGAATCTGATAGTTTCCTGTTCTTTCCGAACCGGCGCCGTGACGTTCATTGACGTCGGTCGAGAAGACGCAACTTGTTGTCCCACGATGTTACCTATCGTAGGCGTGTTCGACATTGCGACAGGTCTTGTGATGTTCGACGGATTCGGCAGCGAGGCGATTTGTATCGGAGTCACCGTGTAGCCAAAGATCTGCGCCAAACCCGATAGTAGAAGACCGAGAGCTCTTTTATCGCGTAATTTATATGCGTATTGTCTATCAAGTCCATCAGTTTCCTGTATAGGTGTATCTACTCTCGGATCTTCGACGTCTCCCGCTCTCGAAACTCTCGCTCCGAACTCGAGTTCTTCTGATAATACTTCAGAAACGCAAGCGACGTATAATAAGCAGAGAATTAATATTCGTGTACGCGATTCCATTTTGGAAGACACTTAATTAATTGACGATCGGAAATAATCGCGTACCACACATTGAACTCAGATTACACGTTGAGTCACTTTCAATTATGCAAATTAAGACACATTATTTTTGCGATGAAACAATCAACGTTTTTTTTGTTTTTTTATTTATTTTATTTGCGGAGGATTCACACATGTCATTTATATTTTAAACGATTTGTTTTACGTAACACGTTGCGTTATTATTGTGTAATTATTTTGATTAAAGTATGATAATTTATGGATAAATAATTATAATTGTAAGAAAAATATATTCAACAGTAAAGCGCTAAAGAGCTTCAGATTGCACGAAAGTTTCCTGTCTCAGAATTCCAAGATGACTGTCGGTCAATTGCAACGGCGTAAGTTTCGCTAAACAATGACTTAACTGGCGGGGATAAATTTTTGCATAATATCGGAAAGAAATGTCGAGTTTCACTTGAATTGTACGGGCTGACTCGTTGATTTGTGACAACTGAAGCGATACGAAACAAGACGGGCGCAGGAAGAGGTGCAGTACGGAACCGTGTTCGCGATTGAATTATTATCATTAACCAAAAGAATATAAAAAGAACTAGACGTGCAATTTTGGTTGACTACACTCTTAGTTTAATTGTACGTGTAAAAATGATACGCTTATCGCAATATTTGGCAATGTTTCATAATTTTCAAAAGAAACATAAAATTAAGTTAGATTTTCCTTGTCACTTTCTATTATCAGCGGTTCACATTTTTGAAATAAAAAATTATTAGATTGTAGAACAATGATTTATTATTTTAAGGACATAACTGAAAAAATTTTTTAAATTAGTCTAATTAGTTAAAAAAATTATTAAAGTAATCAAGAAAATTATATATATTACAATATTAATATCGAATGTTTAATTTTTAATTTTTTATTATTATTAATATTAAATATTTAATTGTTACTTAATTAATTTTTTTAATAAGAAATGCAATTTTTTGTATAATTAATTTTCTTAATCAGGATATTAATTTTTATAAGAAACTTATTAGTTACAATTAAAGTTATTACTACCTGTAGATTTTAGATAAATATTTTATTTGATGTAGAATTCGGATGTTTTGTTAAATCTTTTAATTAAAAAATTTGAAGAAAACCAAATCAACTGTTAAAATTATGAAATACTTTATCTTTCGTGAACGTTTGCATTTGTGCATTTTTCTTATAACTTCCTAAGCGAGTGAAAGGAGATTTACCGATGCATGTAGGCGTAAAATTAATTAATACTTAATGCCAAAACCTGATTTCTTTCTCTTTCTCTCTTCTTACTTTCGGAGTCTTATGCGAGCTTGTCTAATGAGTACAAAAAATCTTTATTCCATCGATAACTGCCAATATAAAAAAATTGTTTTTATGACAAACTTTCTTATAATACATATGAATTAACAATCTTATAATTATATATGAGTTGTTTATTAAAAAAATGCAAATTTTGAAATAATTAAGTGTGAATAAAATAATTTATAAAATAATTTAGAATTATTTTATTCATATAATATAATTTAAAAAATTTATAAAGCTTATTTTCAAAAAATTACATAAAATTTGCAATTTATATTAATTTCGGTTTTTTAAAAATATTATTCACATTTTAATTAACACACTGCGCTTATGTTTGAAAATTTTTATATATTTTATAATAATTTATTTAATGATCTCTATAATAAGCAATTTATTTAAGCATAACTTTCTACATTTCTTTATTTATCTGTCTTTAACGTCAAATATATCGGTGTTATATAAAATATACATGCTCATTGATGCGAACGATTTCATAAAAACAATTACGGTGCACGTGACTATAATCAGCTGTGACAATAGAAGAAAGACAGGAATTTATGACGGTATTGCGAAAGGCTGATGACAGAGTAAATGACGATTCAAAGTATCGTTTGTCGTGTCCGATCGATGTCGTTGGCGCGGCTGGCAACGGACGACGACACATTGCGTTAGTTCGGATATTTCCTAGTTGAGACTTTCGCAAGTAGACAGAATAAGTATACGACCTGTTCTGTATGAGAAAGTCGCTGTTTCCTAGTTTAGCGATGACAAAAACCTCTTAAAACGACGATTCGCGAGGGAAAGATAAAAGAAAAACTTGCTGCGCGTTTATAAGGAAGGGCTCAGTGATTGCATAATCGTCAACATTCCTAGCACACTTGACGTTACATTAGACTGATTGGATTAAAAATACCTTATCCTTATATGAAAGATGACTGGCTAATTTAATTTGAACAATAATGCGAACGGCGCGGTTTCTTTATTTCATTAATATTTTATTTTTAAATACACGAGTGTGAACTGTTAAATAAGGATTTAAGAGTGTATATATATAAAGTTGACATCTCTGATTTCGTTAAAACTCATAAATAATTAAAAATTCTAGCTATATTCTCAATAGTTCTTGATAGTTTAAACAAATAGGCCACTTGGGGCAAACTGAGATGCCAACTTCATGCATATTTATACCATGTATGTTATAATGCAAAAAATAATAAGATATTGTTCTAATATATGTATGTATTTTATTTGTTACAGGTAAATATACACAGTGCAATTTACGCGTAGTGTCGGAAGTGCCGTGTAAAGTGTCGCGCGTCGGGAGTGCCGTGTAAAATTTCGCGTATCGGGAGTGCCGTGTAAAGTGTCGGGCGTAATTATTCGTATTTTCGTGAGTGTCGTAAGTGCTACCAAGAGAGGAGGAGGAGGCCCGGGGAGGCATCGGGTGACAGCGAGGCAACTGCGAGGTATGCAAAATAAAAACATTGTTTTCTAAACTGCATTGTTTTGAGATGACACACATGTATATACATAATTGGAATATTTTATTTTCAGATCAATATGCTGTGTACTACAACTCCGTTTTGCACGTATCGGTGAGTGAGAAATGGTTTATAATATTTCTATAGCGTTAGTAGAGGAGTGTATGAAGCTGATGTCTTATTTCGTAACTCATAAATAATTAAAAGTTTTTGCTTTATTTTCAATACTTTTAGAGTTCTTAATAGTTTAATGAAGAAATGAGACGCCAATTTTACATACACGAATTAGAAATGCTTTTAAATAAGGTTCTAAACATTATTATGTTATGGAATGTGACAAATATATAATTAATGACAAAGCGGCTGTTACTGAACGAAATTGATCATTGCGATCAGAAACAATTTTATGAAATCAATTGCTGCAAAGTAAAGCTTTCATGACATTATATAATCTTATTACACGGAGGAGTTTTTATTCAATTGAATTTTAATTCAATTAATATCAATAAGTATGTAATAGATGCTTTCATTGATTTTTAATAATGAACCGAATTTTTACTTGTGTGATTTTTGTCAAAATATATTTTAATTTATATAACATAAATTTCAATTTATATATTTTAATTTATAAAATCAATATTTATATATAAAATAAAGAAATACATATTAATATTTATACATATATATGAAAAATAAAATATTATTTCTATGATAAACATATCAGAGTTTGAAATTTAATTTAATAATAATAATATAAAAAAAATTTGTGAAGATCTTTGCGGTATATTTTTAAGAATTGTTTGATAAAAATGATAAATGATTACATCGATAGTTTGTCAATGTTTTTGCTTAGTTCTTGTTGTTACATGAAAATAGAGCATTTTTAATCTTGTCCAACAGGTAAGATATTTTCTTCCTTTTAATTTTATTTTCTTTTACGTTTAATGTAATTAATAAAATTTTGTCTCATAATTCTAATGTGTTATTATATACATACACATTAGATTTGATCTTTTTATAATATAATATTTTTTACATGCTGAGAAATAAGCGTCAAAATGAAAATACTTAAATTTTTTATCTATCTTGTATCGCACATTTTATGGATTGCAATATTAGATCGCGATACCCATTATGTCATTTGACGATTCTTTACATGGGAGTGGTCTTGCGGAGTTGTCAGTCGGGATGTTAGTTAGATTACGTGTAATGGATCTAGAACTCACTATAAATTCAGCGAACGACTTACTCGGTATAAAAAGAAGTATCAATCTTCAAACAGCATCAGTTCGTGTGTGTCACGCTTAATATGAAGCTACTGGTAAACAATTAAATTCGTATATACTAATTCACTTAAAATATAAAACTCATACATTTTGTTTAGTAATTTGATTGCACGCGAAATATTGTTCGATGTCATCAGTGTGAATTACGATTTCTAGACTAATTTTCAGATGTGTCTTTAATACGTATGTGTGTTATTTTTAAAAAATGTGCTTGAGATTCAATATTTCGGAGCATACATTTACACATGCAAACATGTATAAATATACGATAAAAGTTATTGTGATATTAAACAAAATTTATTTTAATTAATTTTGAAACTGTATATTTTAAATAATTTTGCAATTGATAATCCGCTTAGCATATAACATTATTTCAATCAAATATAGATTAGTTTAAGAAACAATTAAATAATTTTTTTTAATGTTTATTCTATATTATTATCTTCATTATATCACTTTTTGAGATACATTTTTGTTAACGAAACAATCACAAAACACTTTGAAATACCTCGTGTAATCGTTCGCTGATTTATATTGACGCATCGATAATTGTTTTAGCTTTTGCTATCGTTGATTATTCTGGCTTGGGGAGACAGAGCTCTCGTCGCCGAAAAAACGGCCGAGAACAATGACATATCCTTACAAGCAAGCACGGTTCTTCAAGCTCAGCCGAGCATCCAGGAAATCTTAGAGGGAAAGAAACTAGGAAAGAGAAGCTTGCTTCCCCTGGATTATGTAGGCACTTACGCTCCCGTGTTGCCGTGGTAAATAGTACAGATAAATATCTTGTCAGCGACGTGAATGTAAAAATCTCGAACAGCGGTTTGGCGCTGACGTTGATATGTACGTTCGATTTCTCAGGTATCGATTAGGCGGATTGAGTAGTTACAAATTGCGCGGTTGGTATCCGGGCTGGTCGTTGCACGGTGGTTGGCAAAGTGGTTGGTACAAAGGATGGTAAATTTCACAAAGAAATAAATATGCACTATATCATCAGAAATTTATACGCATCTCACACCGATTTTTTGACATTTTTTAAATATAATTTTTTAATATAATCAATAAATGTCATATAGTTTTACATTATCATGAGTCATTGCATTATATTTTATGAATTTATTTGAGCAAGCGTTTTTTATTAGCGCATTTGTAACAAAGCATATTTATATTTGTATGAAATTTATATGGTAGAAATTCCATCATTTATAAATTTTAAGGAAAATTCTTTATGGTGTTCATATTATTATATTGTCGATTACTCTTGATATCGTTGTATTTCGATATATATATATATATATATATATATATATTATTCATGATGATTATTCACACAATAAAGGATGAAAATAATCGAAACTAAATAAATAATATATAGAATAATATTTTGCGCATACCTTCAATCGTTTTTTGACATAAGTCGTCAATATTTCCTCGCATATGGTAAGATTCTTGTCCGTGTCCTGTACAATAAATCGAATGGAATTTTAGTATCGTCGAAATTCACTCTTCGATAAAAGTACAAAAAAAAAATAAATGTATGTATATAAGAGAGAGAGAGAGAGAAAAATTTCATTATTTATAACTTTCTAAAAAATGAACCTTTAAGATGCTTGTCAGTTCTTTGATTTTCTGCAATTTGGCTTGTTCTCTCTCGGTGCTTTGTGAAACGTTGCACATTTGTGGTGGATTCGGTTCGTACATTTCAAGATGTGAGGCGACAGGTGCTAAGGCAGTCCGATGTTGTCACTTTAGAAGTCCATACTTGTCGTTTGTCGCAATACGTCTCCATATGAGCTTACGTACGTGTAAGACGGGGGTTGCTTAGGAACGAAAGAGGGCAAACAAATATTTTATCGGTTTGGCAGCTAAAATATCAAACGTTTACCGCATTTTGTTGTATATTAATGAATAATCGTTTTATCGTATTTTGCATTCAAGAGTTATAATTTTTTATTTATTTCGACTCGAGTTTTCGGCTTAATAAAGATATCATCGACTGATTTAAAAACTTGTGTATCACCTACAGTTAACATTGAAATTTTCTTAACCCGGTAGATAAATTGTCTTTCGCGCTCGTTATCTTATTCGAATATACATAGATATATTTCTATGATAAAATAATCGGTACATTTATAAGATAAATAAAAACAATTATATAATATTGCTTAATAAATAATATTTTTTATGTGTTCAAAACTTATCTAATAGTGCAATAATAGTTTCCTGCGTTATCCACTCTGCTACCCTTTGGTTTCCTACCCTTTTCCTGCCCTGTTAGAGGGCAACTAGGGTAAAATCAATTTTAGGCGCGACAATGAGCTTAAGCGTACGAACGTCGCAAAAAATTATATTAATACAAAATAAATATTTAAATGTTACGTTATTAAAAATTCTTATTGATAATTAATCTAATTTAATTACAAATAAAATCATAATTCTTTGAAATATGTATGAAAAAAGTGAAGTCTTACGTAACACAACAATTATATCTATCGAATTTTCATCAAAATACTCAATTAATTTTCACTCCTTTAAAAGAGGGTTGCACTTATTTAAAACATCAATTCGTGCTTTCAAAATATTACGAAGTCGACGAAGGGGATCGTAGTCAACCCTCTTCGCGCCAAAAGTCAAAGGCCAACTGGATGCATATTTTGCGGTGGTGCGTTTATTAGCCCCGATGGACAGTGATAGAAGGACAGAGAGACGAGGCAGCATCTCTCCCTCCGGATGGACCAGTTTTTTTTGTCGGCTGAAACTGACCGGGAGAATCTCAAAATGAGAGTCAAAGGCTAACCGAACGCGTTTTGTGGCCCGGTGTTTGTATACGTTCGAATGGACAGTGGCCATTGTTCCGGAACAGCATCCGGATGGACCAGTTTTCTCGGTGGCACGCGCCCGCGAGGATGAATTCGACGGGATAACTCGTAGCAGGAGAACCGCCACGCGAACGAACAGGTTTCGATCGAACCGGGGGAACCGCGAAACAGAGTAGTCTCTGTCAGAGAAAACGGATCGTGATCTATATCAGGTGGAAACTGGTCCATAGCTCGGTCCCCTAGTTCAACAGCTCGGTGTCATCCACGTGCGATCTGGCCGTACCGAGATCAGAGATCAGACTCTCAAGAAAAGCAACGAGCTCCAAATACGAGAGTGGGAACAGGTTCTGCTGAATAAACGGGATCACGATCTTCAACCGCGCATCGGAAATGTAGAGCAGGTGGAATGTTTAGATCCGCGAGAGCGTGGTGTGGGCGAAGTTTCTTGTTTACAGAGCATTTACGTAATGGGGACTGGAAGAAAATATAATCGATTCGCTCGTGCGCAACTTTACTGTTCATTGACATATAAAATCTCAATCTCCAATGACATATAAAATCGTGCAGCGTACAATCGATAAAATGCACCCGAATATTTATCAAATGACGCGAATTAAATTCGAAAGATTTAATTAAAATTCTTTCTAATAAAGCATTAACTGTAAATTATTAAAATTTAATAATTTTTTATTTATAATGAATGTACTATTTAAATTATTTACATTCATCGCTTCTACAAAACAAATCATATTTGACATAAATAAAATTACATTTTCACAATGTGAATAAAAACATATTAAATTTTAATAATTAACAATTATAATTTTGAAAGGGGCTGCTAACAAAACAATTTTGCTCTATATTAACGTTATGCTTTATATATAAGACTTGATTTTTTATATATTGTATTTCAAAAATTATGATTTTATTGTAACCAAATTAAAATTATCAATAAGAATTTTTAATAACGTAACACTTAAATATTTATTTTGTACTAATATAATACTATTGCAAAAATAGAATTTTTTCTATTATATTGTTCGGAGAAAGCACTGTCGTCGGACGTTAAATTAAAAAAATACGATAGAAGGGATTGTACTGCAGGATCTATACAGGGACAAAGAACACGCGGCACTCAATCAAAAGGACGCGAAAACAAAAGCTGCTAACATACGTGTCACATGAGACGTCGAAACCAGCCCACATTGGCCACTTCTTTCACCTGTCCATCACCCTTCCCGGCCTCTAAAGAGGACGCCTCTGAAAGAGGACATTTGCGTTTCCGCGCTCGTACCAGCCATTGTGCGCCTTTATCGCCCGTTTCATGTTCCTCTCTGCTGGCGTGTTCGTTCCACTGGCGACTGTGCGTTTAGTAAGGAATGCACATCTCTGACGTAGAGATGAAATAATTGCGCGTATATATATATATATATTTTAGTTGTAAACAGTTTTCTAATATTAATCTATGCTTTATTGGAATTTTCATCTGTGGAAATATTAAAAGACAGGCATAATTACATAAAAAACAAGTCACAAAATTAATTTATTATATATTTTGAAGCGAAAATTTCTCCGATTACATATACATAAATTTTTAAATTAATTAATAACACATTGTGTGTTTTCTGCATAATTGGTTTATTAGGTAATAATGTTATCTGTTTTACGTTTATTTAAACTGATAGTGTTCTGTTAAACTGTACTTATATATTTTATTGAATTGGCATTTATTTTAAATAAGAGCCTTTACCGTGAAAAATTATTTGTTGGTGTAAGTGTAAGAATTTGAAAAATGAGAACGTTTGACAAGTTGATTTAATGAAGCAAGCGTGAAAGATCGTAAATATAAACGTAAAAAGAATAACGAAGGAAACTTCTGTTGTCGAGTTAATTTCAGCTTCGGTCGTGAAAACCTGTCTTCCGCAGGGGGTTATGAAAGGGTCTCACCACCTATATAGCGCATTACCTCCATTCGTATCGGTAACGAGGTCGACTTCGCTCTGCAGCACTCTTCCTCTAAACGGGGTGGGACGCATAGACGCAGTATTATCGGGACACCCCGTATATATATATATAGGAAGGGCGTATTTGTTTTACTGCCTGGCTGCCGGCATTGGTTGAGAACGTGCTCCGCATTCTTGAAATCGTGCCATCCTTGTTACCAGTACAGACTCTACTGTCGTTCCTTTCGTCCCTCCGCCTCCTCGTCAAACCTAGGCTCTTTTCCTCGTCGCCGCAACCATCATGAGAAGGATCGTCGTCGCGATCCCCTTTCCTACGTCCTCCCTCGTGCGATCGTAAAAAATTCTTAACTCCTGTAGTAGTCATGGAATACGCATATAAGTGTTCTGTATGTACAACAAACTCTGCAAGATGTTTCTGAAACCTAGACACATTCGTCCGTTTATCCAACCATCTATAGGAGTTCGTTCAACGTGCCGCACTAAAATACTATATATATCATTCTCTATTATTTTGAAAAAGTAGAGTTATAGACATTGAAATCGTGAATTATTCATTTCTTATCACGTTAAGGTAAAACGTAATGATGATAAAAAATGATATTTCAAAAAACCTAGAGTACATTTGAAGAGATACGTTTTCAGCTTGACGATGTAACCGTTAATAAGAACGTGAAAATCGTTGAAAATCCGCATCATTAATCTTACAACGTTTGCCGCTGTCAGGATCAGAGCGAAAACCGAGAAGATTGTCTTCGTTTCTTTCTATTCGATGAGACTATAGAAATTTTTAGCTCCTGCCATGAACATAAAATGCTTTTGTAAAGATTGAGAAATGTTTTCCTTATTACTATTCTCTCTTCTCTATATTTTTATTAGAATTTATTTATGAGCCCGACTCATACTCGTCGTTATGCTAAACTTAGGCATTCTTTACATTATTTCAGCAACAAATTATTTCGTACACTAAAGAACATGATTGCTCTTGAAAAGACGTATAGCCCTTTTTTCGAACAAAAACGTACGATTTCGTATATTTTGATTAGATTCTTTGACAGCTGTACAGACACGTAGCTTTTCGGCTCGTAAAATTGTTATCTTCTTTAATGGTCGGTCGGCTCTTCTCACGTCATCTCGGTATCTGATTTTTCGATAACGGAGCGTTGTCGTGCAGACACGGTCGTCACATTGCGGACTTTAGACTACCACCTCGGCAAGATGAGAAGGAGAACGAGAAAGAGAGAAATCGCAAAGGAAGAGTCCGGCGTTCTGCCGATCCTAATTTACGGCCGGGATTTCAGGCGTTTATGTCTTTCCGATAAGGTCGTTCAGATCGCAGATGCCAAGCCTGCATCGATGGATCTTCTTCATCCCGCGCGCTCCCACTTCTTCTTATTCCGCCCCTCGTCGACTCTCTCGCATATCGATAGGACGCGACGAAACGTCAGAGTGGAATTCGTCTTGCGTCGTTTGTCGTTAACGAGAGCAAAGTAGGATCGAGGTGTCGATTCGACAACAACGGCGCGATTACGTCGCACTCGCGAAATTGCCAGCGATTCTTCCACGGTTTTCTGCCAGAAATGATATTGATCGACGCTTCGTAAAAGTCACGTGGATGTAAGATTTAACCACTTCTGCATAATAGAGCGTGATTCTTTATTTCTCGAGAAGACAGCGCGAGATCCCACAATCTCTAGGTGCACAAATAAAAATCTCTCTCGTTATTCATTAAACGCCAGAGTATTGACTTGTACTTGCTTAAAAGAGACAATTTTTATAATATGAATGTTTTCGTGATATTAAGTTTAAATACACGGTTGTGTATATAGGTTAAAGAGATGCAAAACGAATTGTTTCGAACTTCCAACCGATTTCAGTTAGGATCCGGAATAATATTTGTTTAAAGGACAAGCGACCGGAGATTCGATCAAATTGGAAATTTCGCCTTTTTCATGGGAGGGTGTTAAATTCCCTGTGAGATTCGATTGGTCGGTGGGCACAGATTTCCTGTCCGGAAGAATCGACAAGATGGGTT